TCCCCTTTACAATTTTGAATTTAAGAAAATAACCTTTCAGATCTCTTATGTGTAAAAAAAAAAAAAAAAACTCTTACGTGTAAAAGTAAATCTTACCTGTGTAAAAAAGAGGTAAGGCCAATAAAACTAAAAACAAGTTTGTAAAGAGCCAAAAAACCAATTGACCCTTAATAAACTTCAACCAACTTTCATTGTTTATTAATTAATATTTTGTAAATGTAAGATAACAAACATTGCTCAATAATATATAATCAAGTTGATTCTGGATATTTAAACATCCCAAGAGAGGGATTAAAGACGCTAAATCCACCATCAATTAAGAGATTATGACCGCTAATATATTTAGCATCATCAGTTGCCAAGAAAAGAGCAGCTTTTGCAACATCATCAACTCTAAGCGTTACTCCTTTAAGATTCCCAGCCGTATGCGTAGTGTTTTCAAATTTATGAGGATCAGCTATTCCAATAAATTTCGTGGCCAAAGGCGTAACCATAGCATAAGGAGACAAACAATTGACCCTTATTCCGAATTGGCCCAATTCAACTGACAAGTTTTTTGTGAGACCTAACACGGCGTGTTTGGAGCTGGTATAAGCGTGTGATGCAGCAGCACCAACTACAGAGCTTATGCTTGCCATGGAAATGATGCAGCCCTGTTTTGCTGGGACCTGTTGCAAAATATGAATGAAGAATTAACACAAATAATTTACACAAACAGCCGGCCAGTTTTACTGTTTACTTTTTCTAGCCTGTATATCTAGATTATACATAAAATATACATATATTATGCATTTGTTTGCTATTTTTAATTTGAGTAATTGAGTGGGCTGTTATAAAAACTGCTTCCTGTTGCAAAATATGAATGAGAATTAACACAAATAATTTAATGCTTCTCAGTTCTCACTGCTAGAATTCCATGGACGTTTATATCGAAATAGTGGTGGACTGGAGCCCAAAATTATAATAAAGGGGATTAAAAAAAAATGCTACACTTAAAGTTTTTTTTAAAGGGGATTCAACAAGTTATATATATACATAAAAAAGATATTTATATTTATATGCAATACAATTTTTTGGCTTCACTACTAGTTGGAACGCTGTAGTAATATGGAATTTCCGGCGGAAATCTGTGGTAAACAGTTCCCTCGGGAATTATGTGGGAAATACTCCCTCACGAGATTGCTATGAGATATATATGCAAAAAAAGAATTAGTGAAGATGACAAATCTTTAAGCTAGCGATTGGACAAAGATTTGGTTGAAATTTGAAAAAAGAGTTTTTGAAGTTGTGTTTAAAAATAATTTTTGGAAGTTGAAGTTGTGTTTGAACATGCATTTTATTTAAAACACTTGAAGTTTTGTGAGTAGAAGAATTATTTTCACCAAAAAAACTTTCTTAAACCATATTTTGGGAACTTGATTTTTTCTTTTCTTTTCAAAAACTGATTATATTCCGTAAACAAACAGTATTTTCAATTCTTTTCTGGAAAAAAGTAGCTTCTGCACTAAACAAATAGTGGAGAAACTCTTCTTAAGAAAGCAAGAACATTTGTTAATTTTCAGACGCAGAATTTTAAGAAGAAAAAGAGAATTTCTGGAGGAAAAGACAAGACTAGAAGGTCAGTAAACAAAAAATCATAGCCAAGAAAAACCAACTTAAGATGAAAATATGCATCCTTTTTTTAAGAGATAATATTATTTATGGTCATTATATTGAACTTTTGTGTTTGTTAGCCAAAAGTCATTTTTTTTTTTTTTTACGTAAAATCATTCAACTTTGTGTTCATTACACAAAAGTCACTTTTCTTTCTTTTGTTACACAAAACTTATTTTACTTTGTTCTAGTTATCACAAAAGTCACATTTTTACTTGAAAAGTCTATTATGCCCTTGAAAAGTCTATAACTAGAACAAAGTAAAATGATTTTTGTGTAACAAAAGAAAGAAAAGTGACTTTTTTTGTAATGAACACAAAGTTGAATGATTTTTACGTAACAAAAAAAAAGTAACTTTTGGGTAACAAACACAAAAGTTCAATGACTATGGATAAAATTATCTCTTTTTTTAAGACACAAATTTTAATTTAAAAAATATTTTATTTAATATTTATATTTAAACAAAAATCTAATTAACAGGACCATGACTCTGGCGGCATGCTTCATGCACAGGAAAACTCCGGTCAAGTTGATGTTAATAACTCGCTCAAAATCCGCCTTGTCATTGTCGATAATTCGCGGTTTATTCTCGCCACCTATGCCAGCACTGCAGATCATAACGTCAAGTTTTCCGAAATCAGATACAGTTTTGTTGACAGCATTTTGGACATCCTCTTCGTTTGTAACATCACAATGAATATAAATGGAGTTGCATAGTGTGGAACTCAGTGACTGGCCAATTTCCTCTTGGACGTCAGCAATGGCGACTTTGGCGCCATGCTCATAGAAGAGCGTAGCAATTCCTTCGCCGATTCCACTGGCTCCTCCAGTTATCAATGCTACTTTCCCTCCAACCTTCACAATAAAATGTGTAAGTAAGCAGCTTAATTAGTAGGTGTTTGGATATAAAAATAGTATTTGGAGTTTGAGTTGAAAAATGAAATTATATTTGGACACGCATGTTGCAGTTTGGTGAGTGAGAAAAAAGTTTTCCCGAAAAACTCATTTTTGAAATTTTTTCAAAAACTTACATATTTTCATGGATAAACACGTTTTTTATTTTTATTTTTTTTTTTGAAAAAAGGAAGAATTTTTTTTTTTTTTTTTTTTATGGACAGACAAGCCCATAATTTTTTTAATCATAGTTCCGTGGTCTATTTTAAGTTATCTTTTCATTTAAGGAGGAAATATTACTCACTTCAACCATTTAAGGTGATAATATTTGATTGAGTATGAAATTTGAGAAAGGAATAAAAACGTATATTCAAAATTTATGGTCTAAAAAATGTCATATGAAATTCGCATTATTAGGTTCAATTGGTACAATAGAGAGGGATGTTAAACACGATACTAACCTCTTGGCTATTGTTGAAAGAAGTGGAGATGATGTCATAATGAGAAAGGAAAATCGCAGCAAAAACTGGATTTTGTAGGAGATTTTTGTCGAAAATCCTTTATTAATTAAAGAAGTATTGGGCGAAAAATGTATTGATTTATAGGAGGTTTAATACCTAACACGTCAGTTATGGTAGGTGATCATAATCGAAGGCTTCAAAAGACTATGTTAAAGATACATTTTCTTTGTTTTTATTTTAAGCATTTAGTATCCGAAACCCACTTATCGGACAAGTTCAAATTCGTGGCACATAGGAAAAATATTTTATGCTAAAACAAATTTATTCTCAGAGTTCAAACACGAGACTTAACGGATGGAGGAATGCCATTCCACCACATCCATTGGAGTAACCGAAATTTGAATATTTGGACATAGTGTTTAATGTTACCTCTTCTCATAAAGATTAAGTTGTATTCTATTGAGAAAGAGTTGATTTTATCATATGATAATATGGTAAATTTATTTTATCTCCCTAAACTTACAGGACCAATGAGTTTAAAGTTGTTCTTTTGTTTTCACTGTAGATGACATGTTTTACATATATGTAATTAGAGCATAAGTTGGCATGAGACTAGCGATTGCCTGATTAGACAACTTCAAATATTTATGTGACTTTTTTTGTTCACATTTTGGCAGCTTTATACCTAATTGAATTGATGGATATATAGCCAACTATACGATCAGGCAATTTGAGTGTACCCATGCGATTTTGGTGAAAGTAACTTAATATTTAGGTTGCTTGACAATTTAGGGTGTTAATAGACGAGTTGAACTGGATTTAGACGGATCAAAATATATAGGTTGAGTTTATATAACTATCAAAGATTACTTGGTTTGACATGAGCTAAACAATGGATAAAAACCTGTCCAACTCTGAAAAAATATTAATAATTTATTCAATTTTCAAACAAAACTGATAATTTTTTTTCTTTATTATGACTATACCAAACATATCAAATAGGAAAAAGTTTTATTTTTTTAAACAAATATTTTGACAAGTTTTTTTGGGTAAATTTTAAAAATAGCCAGATTTACAACTGGTCGTTCAAAAATAGCCCAATTTTAAAAGTAATCGAAATTTAGCCACTTTTTATATAAAGATAAATCTGAGCGAAAACACTATTTAAAACCCGAAAAATACTCCACTATATTATGCTGGAGTTCCAGCATAAGTATACTTGAACTCCAGCATATTATACTGGAGTTCCAGAATAAGTATGCTGGAACTCCAGCATAATATGATGGAGTTCCAGCATAAGTACACTAGAACTCCAGCATAATATAACGGAGTTCCAGCAAGTATATTGGTCCAGTATAATATACTGGAGTTTGGAGCACCGGTGCTCCAGTCTCCAGTATATTATACTGGAGCCAGCAAAGTATACCGGTCCAGCATAATATGCTGGAGTTCATACACAAGTGCACCGAACTCCAGTATATTATGCTGGACCGGTCTCTATTGCAGCAAAATAGTCACTATTTTTCATTGACTTGGTAAACGCTGGTTATTTTTGATTGACCAGTCTGAAAACTGGCTATACCGTGCTATTTTTACAGTTTTTTTGGGGCCAATTTGTAACCCAAATGAGCCCAACTTTTAGATGGACTGTCTGGGCTGTGCACAAATTGACCCGTTAAGAAAAGGGATATGCTTAGCCCAAATGCAAATGAAGAGCAATGACATACTGAGATTTCAAAGTTCTGTAGATACAAACACATTTTCTGAGAGGAGATTGTTACACAAATAGCCAGTCAGATTCAATATTTATTTTTTGTCGTGGATATACATAGACTACACACAGTTATACATATATTATATATGAAATTATATATTTATATATATTATACATTCGCCACCTATTATTAGTTTGAGAGATTAGATGGTCGGATATTTGGATTAATTCTTCATAAAGGGGCTATATCATTCACAAAGCAAAATTTAACGCAATTGTTTTCGACCTAGTCCAATGTTTATTAACTGGAAATGACATATCTAGATGTTGATCGAAATACACGTTTACAATAAAGTGTTAATTTATTCTTTGAAAATCTGATCAACTAAAATCCTATAACCTTTCTCTGTGAGATGATAACCATCCCAAAACAAATATTTCGTGTCATCTTCACATGTTCCAGTGTGGTTATCGCATAGTAAGAACTTGTTATTTCCTGGGCGGCAACAACATCTCTTTACTTCTTCAAAACCTAAAATCAACCAATAATAAGCAAATTTAAAAGAAAAAGGAAAAGAAAAACAAAAAAGCTCAAGTAATCTTAAGAGGATTTTAACTGAGATAGCTCTCGACTTGTTAAATAACTTTATTTTTCGGGTTACCGAGTCCACATTTTATAACAATTATATATACTCCGTTCCTATTTATGTGAACCTATTTCCTTTTTGGGTCGTTACAAAAAGAATGACCCCTTTTTAAATTTGGTAACAATTTAGCTTAAACTTAAAATTCTACCCCTAATGAGAAGTTTTTATAACCACACAAATACTCTGGATCCTTTTTTAACTTGTTTAGCACCACAAATTCCAAAAATCTTCATTTTTTCTTAAACTCCGTGCCCAGTCAAACAGGTTCACATAAATTGGAGCGGTGGGAGTAGTTATCTTTTAGTGATTTGATAGTGTAATATTTTTAGGGGTCGTTTGGTTGGAAACAAGTTATCCCATGATTAATTATCATGGGATAACTTATGTCGGGATTGTTATCCTACCCTTCCATAGGGATAAACTAACACTACAATCCCGTAATTAGTTATACCGCGATTTTATCCCAACCAAACATGAGATAAACTCGTCTCAAATTTAATCCTGGAACTAATTATCCCTTACCATGGTACGAGCCCTAAATAGTACTATATTATGTAGAACTAAAGCTCATTTAGAAATATGAACTTAAGGAAAAATTCTTGTTTAATTTACCATATTTGTCGGGGTTGTCAATGAGATCAAGTAGAGGATCATATATATTGATGAAAACAAGCTCGGATTGTGGCAAAATTTCGGACAATGAATCAATTTTAGCTGCCAATTTGGTGTTGGCCAATTGCGCGGCTTGATTGTATTCCTCGACGCAAACTCTAGCTAGACCTCCACTTTTTTGTCTTTGTGATGGCAAACAACCTATTGGTGGAATCCCAAATACCCAAATTCTTCTTGCTCCCAAATTGTACAAATCCTTTAAGAAGAAAAAAAAAAAAACTACAATCAAAATACTAAACATCAATTTCTAATAAAACCATAATAAGAATTCAATGTTATAGGGGCGTGGTGGAATAATAAACGTTGTTTCACCCTTAACTAGATGTCTCAGTCAGGTTCGAACCATCAAACTTGTCTTTTTTTTTAAATATAAATTCAAATTAGTCGAGCTAGTGAGTTCTGAACACCAGATTGCTAAACCAATAAAAGAAATGTATTCACCTTTTTTTTAGAGGCAAATATGTTGTGCAACCAGGTGCACGAAGCATATTCCCATGTTCATGCAAGATTCAGGGAAGAGCCACACTCCAAAAGGGTGTGATACTGTGATATAGACAACTAACCCTAATGCAAGCATCAGTGGCTGATTTCACGCTCGAATCTGTGACCTATAAATTACACGAAGACAACTTTACCGTTGCTCCAAGATTCCCCTTTCATAATCAACTTTCTTGATATGAAATGAAATTAGTAATTACAATAACTTCTCACTTTGGAAAAAGTTTTAAAAGCCTAAACCAACATAAAATCAATACTAGCAAATTAAGTGATTGGACCGAGAGTCATCATTGAGAACTCCTTATAAAAATTTATTTTCACAATCATAATTGATAATCATGCATGACAAGAAAAAATGCATATAGGTATATATAGTATATACTTACTTGGACAAAATTGGAAGCTCCATTCACCATAACATTAGTATATGAGTCAATATCGTACTGCCATTTCCGTGGAATTTTGAGAGTGAAATATGTATTAGCAAGGTCGTCACTGCCAGTAACTATTAGAAAAAGACTGTTTTTTATGATAGAGTTGGCTTCTTCTTCCCCGATCAATCCCTCTAGCTTCAACTTATATTGTTGAAAAAGAAGTAATTGTGCTGATAATGGTATCGCTGTCTGATTTTACATAAAAATCAAGAAAGTATGATAAAAGTGTTAGTGTTTATTTTTTTTCAGCGGTAAAAACTACTTTGAATCTAAATAAATACAATATTGAATAAAGAAGTTACTGCGGTAATAGCTGTTAGTAGGTCATATCCAGAAGCTCCTGAAGCAAAGCTTACTCCAGTTTTTAAATCTTCAAGTTTCAAATTTGGATCAAAATAAGCTGGCATTAGCTCTTTTATTCCTAGTTCTTCCACTGAAAATGGATAATCATAAAGTCAGTAATTAGTATTTACATGGAATGAAGAACTTCAAAAAATAAAAATAATGTAAGAACAATAAGTCTAATGAAGTACTACAGTGTAGAGTGTTTTTTTCTCATAATTATCAGGCCAGACTGACCTACAATCACATCACATGTAACTGTCTATAATAAGTCTAATTTTATAACCTAAAAAACTAAAAAACTAACTTGTTATAACAAGTTACAATAAAATACGACAGAATTATGTCCAATGTCACTTGGCCCAACAGCCTAACTGAAAATGGCCCAGGTTTGAAGTCTTTACACTGTTTGGCCCGGGTTGTACATAGCCTGAAAGAATCTTTTCATCATTTAGCCCATTATTATCCACAGTTCATAACACACATAAGCTTCTTAATATCTCTCTCTTTTATGTGTATTCTGCCTTATCATATAAGCGCACTTCAACTCCAAGAGCAAAGCTGATCTTTGAACAAGATTTGAAGTTGTTCAGTTACAAATTTGCCTCATCCTTGCTACTAGGTTTAGTATTCTCTTCGGTCAAGTGTATATAATCATAAAACCTCCATTATTGGAGCTCAAGTTTCTCAAATTTAAAATTTGATTGATTAAAAAAAAAAATCCATTGAAGGCTGAAGCTTTAAGTTTGAACCATATCTGAGATTTTGGGTTTGAAAGCACACTTAGATCTAAGATTTGAGATTAATTTTGAAATGGGTGTTATTGGGTTTGCTTGAAAACATGATTGTGTGTTGTTCTAATTGATTGGAAACATCAAGAGGAGTTCAAAGCTTAAATTTGAAGTGATTTAGAGCTGATTTGAGTTAGATTTAAGTCAAATTTCAGTAAGAGCTCAAGAAAGAAGAAGAAAACTTGTGAAGCTCCATTGATAGGATTCATTTGTATAACAATGTATAATATTGCATAATAGTGTATATGGGTATGTAAACATCTCTTATACACTATTATACCAAGTCGATAAATATGTATAAGTGTGTATAATTTTGTATAATTATGTATATACCAGTGTATAAGAATGTAGAAAGACAAAATTAAATTTTTGTATGTTTTCTTAGTTTTCTCGAGCTGGACAACCTCCTTTGTTTGTTTTTAACTTATTCTAACTCTATTAGTGGCACCATTGAAGGAAAAAAAATAAAAAATTGAAATCTAGCAATGATGTGTTTATGAGAAGGAATTACCATCTGTTATACCGTTGACAAGGCAAAAAGCTGTCAAATTTATTTTTATTTGTTTCTTTATATTTGAATGTATATTTTGCTAATTATTTAATCGAGTTCTTCTACTTTTATATTCATATACTATATATTTAATAACTATTTAATTAAAACCTAGCAAATTCTCTGCCTCTGACAAAGGGAAAAAAGCTACCAATTCTTTTTTTTTCTTTCTCTTTTTATATTTAAATATATTTTTATTAATTGTCTCATAAAGTTAATAGAAAACACTGATTTTGGTAGAAGATAAATACAGAAGCTCTCCTCAACAATAGGAATGTTGAATAGCATTGACCGCAAGAACTGCTGGTTGCGTCAAAAAATGCTGGGTTTTTCAGATTTGGGCCTATTACCTTTGGGCTATAGATTTGCAAAGTTATAACTGGGCTACTCAGTTGCAATGTGTGTCTATGAGTTGTACTTATGTGCAATTCTCCCATAAATTACCACCAAAGGATGTGGTGCAGCAGATGTGGCTGCTCTTCCCTTAACCAGAGGTCTCGAGTTCAAGCCCTGGGTATGGAAAAATCCTTGGTAGGGAGCGCTTCACCCGAATGGGGCCCTACGCGGTGCGAATTCGGATATAATCGGGCTCCAATGCGAATACCGAACACCGGGTAGGAAACCAAAAAAAAGAATTTTTTTTTACAATAAGTTACAATCACATGTAATTGTCTATAACAAGTCTAATATGGTAACTTAAAAATTAAATAACTTATTTATACCAAGTTAAAATGCAATAATGATTCGCTAATCAGTGTAACAAAATGACAGCTTGATGCACAAAGTATTCTGTGTTGACACAAAGTATGGGAAAAGGATGCACCTGATACAAGTATCGATGTCCGGCTGATTCCACAGCTTGAACCTATTACCTATAGGCAGGGGCATATGTAGCTTAAGGAGTATGGGTTCGCGTGAACCCGTACTCCTTTCCTTAAATCATGTATAATAATATTATATTATTTAAAATTATTTAAATATATGTGTGTGCACCCATGCTTAAAAATTCATATAGGTGTATTAATTATTATGTGCACCTCTACAAGTGAACTGGCAGTTCAAGTCCCACTTTGGACGATCATGTTTTTGGCACGAATATATATATATATATATATATATATATATATATATATATATATATATATATATATATATATATATATATATATATATATATATATA